CCGCCTCTCGCTCGGCCGCCAGGTCCAGGTCCTGCTGCGCCAGGTGCGCGCGCAGCTGCCGGATCTCGAACTGCGGGAGGGAGGAAGAGGAGAGCAGGGTGGGCGGGCTGCAGAAGGCGCCCCGTGCACCCGCAGCCCGAGGTCCGGGGCGCCCTGGGAGCTCTGGCGGGGCGGAGGGGGAGAGGCGAGTGGGCAAGGCTCGAGGGTCCTTGGAAATCTAAGGGCACCGATGGCGACAGCCTCTTCTCATCAACAGAATGTTGTTTTTTTTTAAGGACGTGGACTTGGGTCAGATATGTTTCAGGGAGATATGCTTGAGCGGCGGGAAGACTGCGGATGGGACATCCGGAACCTGGAGTTGAAGTCTGCACACGTCAAGTGACAGGTGTCAATACCGATGGTTCGTGGGAGGCAGAAGCTGTGGACACTCAGGGCCCAGCCTGGCGCCGCAAGCTGGCTGGTCGGTGCACGGGCTCATTTCCTTCCCAGCACCACCCATGGGACCTCCCCAAACCTCGGTAACTCTTCATAGTGCCTCGCATGGGAGTTGAGAAAGGCTGAAAGGTGTTGCTCTGGGCCATCCGTTGGCTTGTTTTGGCAGGGAAAACATCTTAGAGAGGCTTTTGGGGTTTATGGTTATGGCCCGGGTGGCTACTCCAGCCTGGACGGAAAGGAGGGAGCTTCATTGGACAAGGGGTTGATGCTGACTCACAGTGACCCTCTAGGACACAGTAGCACTGCCCCCCCCCCCCTTTGGGTTTCCAAGACTATCCATGCTTACAGGGGTAGAAATCCCCAATCTTTCTCCCGCTGGTGGTTTTGAACTGCCAACCTTGAGGATCGCAGCCCAGTGTATAAGCACGACATCACCAGGCAAAGGCAAATGTGGGTTGGGGAATCAGGGCCGGGAGTGGGAACGGGAGCTTCACTGCCATCTAGTGTTCTTAGCACACAAAGCATCCTCTCTACACCACTTGGTCAAAAGCCGGGAGGGCATCACAGGCAGAGGCCCGGAGCAGACGCCAAGCCAGACTCCAGCCCTTCCGGCAGGGGGTCACAAACTCATCCTGCTCACCACAAGGCTCTCCGCTGTCTCCCCACACCCGCTCTGCCTGCATTTTCAGCTATTCCAGTTGCAGGAGCCCTGGTGGTGTCGTGCTTGCACGATGGACTACAATCCTCAGGGTCGGCAGTTCGAAGCAAAAGACTGGGCTTTCTATGCTACAGTCTCGGAAACCCACAGGGGGTCGCCATGAGTCAGCACAGACTCAGTGGCAGTCGGTGGGGTTTGGTATTCGAAAAAGCATCACCATCAACCTCCAACCTGCCACGAATCCAGCTCCACCCGCTGGATGTACCCCAGGCTTCCTGTCTCTGCCAGCACCCCTCTAAACGCACCCCCCACCCTGTGCCTCCATCTCTCAATCACCCACTCTCCAGCAGATCGAATCAGAGCACATCACGCCAGCCTTATTATCCATCAGCCTCAAAGGTTCACTACCGCCCTCAGAAGCAAATCCAAACTTACAAAGCGGGCGCCCATCTGGCCTTGCCCCCTTGGCCAACCATACATACCTCTTCCTTGTCTCCTTCCCTCCTCCAGCGATGGCCCTTCCTGTCCCTCAAATGCATGAAACATGTCAAGGCCACTTCCCCAGCTCCTGCTGCGTCCTGATCACATGACCAGCCCCTTGCTGAGCCCCTCCACCACCTCCATCTAAGACAGTCAGTCGCCCAGGCAAGACCTCAGCCGCCAAAAAGATCCCCTGTGTCTCACTTGCCACCTTTGGATGAATCTTGATGCCTCCTATTTTTATGAAAGTAAACACGCGTGCAAGTACAGCATTCCGTAACATCAGGGTGTCCAGTCAATAAAATGACAAACTCCAAATGTGAGGATCGTCTCTGGGACTCCTGTCCGTTTTTTCCAGAGGGTCCTTGTCTGGGGTGGGGAGGTATTCCCATGGCTCCCTGTGAGGGAGGCTGGGCAGGGGAATGGAGCAGAGGGCCCCACTTTGGGGTGGAAAGGTGTTAATGTAATCCTTTCAACCTCGAATTCTTAAGAGGGTGGGGGCTAGGTGCTTCCTCACCTGGCTGTGCAGGATTTGGGAGGGGGCCTGGGGAATCCAACATCCCCCCTTCTGCCAGATTCTGGGCTCCAGGAGAGGATTGGCCCACT